TTTACTGATATATTTCATTAATATATGCCATTTCACCAAAATTACTATCCATCATTTCTTTTTCTTGGTGAATAGAATCTCAGGCATAAGTATGCCACAATTCTTCTGAACTTCCCTATATGAGTTGGACCAGGCAATTTGCAGCTTGTTAGAAAGATGCTATGAATAGCCAGTGCATATTTAATATTATTGCAAACTTTTATTACAAACTGTAAGATATGTTTCCTAATTTATACTTCTAAACAGTATGAAACTGACTTGGAGTTAGCGTTTTAATCTTATCCATTCTGTTAAGTATATAAATAATGTGTCATTGTGGATCTAATTTTCATTTTCCTGAAACACATTTTAATATGCTTAGAACCTCTTCCACTTTATCATGCATTTTCTATTTTTATACATCTTTGGATCCACTCTGCCAATATGTTATTTAGGATTTTTGCATGTGTTCATATGGAATATTAGCATAGATGACGTTTTAAATTATATTCTCAGGCTTATTATTGAGAAAGTTAATGTCTTTGGTCTCTGAAAGAGCTTATATAAATTTGCTAATCCTGCAAAATCTACTTTGTCAGTAAAGCATCAAGGCCTGGAATTTTCTTTGCTGGAAGGGTTTTTGTGTTTATTCTTTTTATAATTATTGTTTCAAATATTTGGGGGGGGGCAATTGTGGGGCTTGAATTCTGGGCTTGGGCACAATTCCTGCGCTCTTCAGCTCAAGGCAAGCACTCTACTGCATGAGCCACAGAGGTTTTTATTGGAAATGAAACTATCATGGAGTTTCCTGCCCAGATTGGCTTTGAACTGTGATCCTTAGATCTCAGCCTCCTGAGTAGCTAGGATTATAGGTGTGAGCCACTGGTGCCTGGCTGGTTTTAAATTTTTTAACAGACATTGAATGATTCAGACTTTATTTTTCCTGTACAAATGTGGAAAAATTAATGTTTTCATCCACAAGGAATTGTTCATTCCTGTATTTGAAATTCTTAGTATAAAGTTATTCATATTTGCATCATTTTTTGATTTTTTTTTATATAAATGTTGGAGGTTTGAGGATTTTTTTTTTCTTGATGAACTTTGCCTACAGGTATGTTATTTTATCAGCTTTCAAAGAGTCAACTTTTGGTTTTACTAATTTTCTTTAACATTAGTATCTTTACTACAAGCTGATTCATTTCTTTATTATGTTCTTTTTGTATCTAATTTGCTATTTTCCCAACTTTTGTGGCAGAAACACTTCTAGTTTATATAAATCTTCCTCCAATTAGGTTTTTGCTGCCTTCTACAGAATTTATATTGCCATTGTCAATTTTTATTCACCTGAAATAAAAGAACTGGAAAAAGGCATATATCATTAGAAAGCATGTTTTTGTTTTGTTTTGTTTTTGGAGGGGGGTTCTGGTTGTGGGGCTTGAAGTCTGGGCTTGGGTGCTGTCCCTCAACTCTTCACCTCAAGGCTAGCACTCTACCACTTGAGCCACAGCACCACTTCTGGCTTTTTTTTTCTGCTTATGTGGTGCTGAGGAATCAAACCCAGGGCCTCATGCATGCAAGGCAAGCGTTCTACCACTGAGCTACCTTCCCAACCCAGAAAGCATGTTTAAAATAAGTTGTACATAATAGATACATATTCTTTTATAGTCACATTCATTTAGATTATGGAAAAGGATAATTGGTAGAAAGATTAAAAAGTAGTATTTTTGTGGATAATCCACTAACTCATTTACATGAGTCTTAAAGTTTATATCTCTTTATAACTTCTGGAAAGAAATTATTTTCCAGCAATAAAAATTCTTGTTAGGGCTGGGAAGGTGGCTCAGTGGTAGAGTGCTTGCCTTGCATGCTCAAGGCCCTGGGTTCGATTCCTCAGCACCACATAAGCAAAAAGAAAAAAGCCGGAAGTGGCGCTGTGGCTCAAGTGGTAGAGC